AAATTTTGTGGTCGAAATACGACAACTGGAAAAGACCTGCAGAAAAGAAGTTTCATTTGAGACTTGATGCATACTGCTAAAGCATAGCCGACTTGAAATTGTCCTAAAATTATGATGAATGAGGTGTTTCAAAGGGAGAAAGAGTAGAGACAAAGATGATCTTTTCTAGTTGTTCCGGCTGGCTATTGGAGTTTTCCTTATCACTGCAGGACTAAAGTGAACCATTTTTTCTGCTCATAACATCCTCTCCGTTCCCCTCAAGTCCTCGGCACTGTTGTTTTGACTAAACTAATGAAAACTTCTACTCAATAATGCTGAGACCTCGTTTTATCATCCCGTCGGCCCTCGTCCACCTTCCGTTGGTCCTCCTTCACTTGAAGCCATCCTAAGTCGCCGCTACACTAGTTGTAATAGCTGTGCAAAAGCTGGCTAGAATTAATGATTTGTTTTTTGATATGTTCGCATAAAACATTGAACTAAAAAAAATATCGGAATCTTTCCGCAGGTACCCCTTGGATTTCTACTTGTTGCGGAGCCCTGTCGGGAGCGAAGCACATAAAAATAGCTGGAAATCCCGTCTCAGTATTATTTCCAGTTCAGAAAAAATGGAGTTCTGACGGAAATCCCATCTAATTTTCACGTTTCTTCTTTTTTTTTTTGCTTCAACTTGTTCAGGCAGTTGTTAATCTCTGTTAGTCAGAGTGTTGGATTGAGAAGTAAATAATAGTCAAAGAAAAATTTTACCACTGAGGGTTTACTGTAGCTGCACACGAAATCACCGATTAGGGACGAAAGTGAAGTATGGAGAAAAGTGCAAGAGGTTATATAAGTTTTGACCGTTCACAGTAAAAGATTTTTACATTTAAATAAGGAATTTTATGACAAAACAAGTGAAGCAACGGGAGAAAAGTACTGTTAATTTTATTTCTTTTCAAGAAATAAATGAAAGGCAGATGGATAGTTAACAAGGTAGGAAATCTACCTTGAACAAATTTGGAACCCCTCTATGTGTTGCTTCCAAAAAAAACGCCACCACAAAGGGAATCAAGTCGCTTTTCCACTCGACTCTTCCATTCATTTCTGTGCCACGCCTTTGCTTTTATTATTTCAACTGCCTTTTACATCTGTTCTTTAACTCGCTCTGATGTACTTATCCGCCTTCCAAAAACGCTTAGATGTTTTATTGTACATTTATTCTATTTCCAAGTACAATTAAACGACTTGTATAGGGATACATAGCAGAAACTTATGAGGAAGATGCAAAATTTATTCCTTGATTTCTTCTTTCACTTAAGTCTGCACTTCCAACATCCTCGTAAACCATCCCACGTAATACCATCTTTAAACAATCATTCATTTGTTTACAGAGAGTTGAATGTTTCTCCAAACCATTTTTTTCTTTATTTCTGGCAAGAGGAAAATGCATTTCGTACCTTTGTATAGCAAAAGTATCTATGCTCGACTGCACAACTTCAAGCCTTTTCTAAGTACGACGTTAGCTTGTCCTCTTATTGTAATACCACTTTTATGAGCTGCAGTAAGTTCGCATATAAAAGGTAGTTTGTTAAACTGTTACCGTCACGCACAGTAGCAGCCAAATAAAAGTGGCAAACGGAGAAGTTTACAAAGCGATCATTAAAACGAAAAAGTCTTTTGCTAAGGTCTTTAACTGCTTCAATTGATGGTTTAAAAAACGCGGAATTTTTATACGGACAGATATCAGCTTTCGCCGTAACTGATTTACGAAAGAAACGTTAAAAAATCTGTGTGTTATGAGTAGGTAAATTTGATTAAGCTCGAAGACTGCTCGTCAAAAACGCTCATTTTCTTTCTAATAGGAAACAGGACCATTTCAGTTAAACTTCCCGGCTGCTTGCGAATTTACCTATTCACCTTGGCGTTTTTCAATTTTAATCTGGATATTTTTTTGGGGATAAACAGAGTTAACAAATTACTCCCTTCAAAAGAGTACAAGAGTCCGTCATAATACGCAAAACATGGCTGTTGTTCAATTAAAGTGGGAACTGTTAATAATTTTATTCAGAAAAGTCATAATACAAAGCTTATTTCAAGATAAGGCAAAACTTTCAATCGATTGCCAGAAAATGATCAAAGTAAAGCTGAAGGAAAAATTCAAGCAGAAATGAAAATCAAAGTAACAGGCTTCATTTCAAGTGTCAGATGCGCTTCTTTGAGCACGGAGGAAGGAAGCGGCTTGTCTCAAAAAGAAATCAATGCCTTTCTTGTGAAAAAAAACCTAAAACGGACAACAAACATAACGCATTTGGAACCATCTTCACTGGTGAATCAAAGCGCAGTGAAACTGCTCCTTAAAGTAATCCTAAAATTTGTCACAGTTCAACTGAAGAACCTGTATCGCCTTGTACGTGAGAATTTGATCATTTTCATGTCTGGAGGGACTTTTAAAAAGACTTTCACAGGTTTCTAAAATAGTCGCCGAAAGAAGTGAACTTTCCCGTGCGATAAAGGTGCTAAACTTCGATATGAAGATGGACAGTAGTCGGCAATCGATATTTGGAGTTCAGTAGCTGTTGCTTCAGCCCCCCAACCACAATCTAATGCTAGACTTCTCTAAAAATATTAAACAAATTATCCACTTGAAAGAATGCGCAGTCCGCAGGCATTAAACTAGCTAGCGGCAAATTTTTCGCAACATATTAAACAAGTAATACGCGAAATGGTTGCGGACTGTACAAAGACGCAGTGTCTGGTCGCTAATGAGAGTAAGAAGTACTGATAACACTGTGCTCAAAGTTTCTTTCAATGACATTTCTTTTTTGCACACTAATTTTGCACATCTAAAAAGCTTTAAGAGATTGCTTATATCAAAAATGACCTTATAACATTTACCAATTCGCGCCTTACTGATGCACAAATTTTTTTTTCTTTTTCGCAAGATAAAAATTGATAAAATTCTCCAAAAATCCATTGGCCTTGTTTTGACAAGACAGTGACAAGACACAATGGAGTTACAAAGCCCGGAAGTTCCTTGTGCAATCGTCCATCGTTCCTAATACTTTGGTCATCATTAACACAAAAAATCTGTTATCCAAAGAGATTATCAGCGGAACTTTGGGGTCGCGCATTGCACAGTTCATTGCATAGTTTTCCCGCTGCTATTTTTCGCAGTAAAATTGGTCTCTGGCCAGTGAGTCTTATAACGATTTGAATAGCCACTGTACTTTGGTCAACGCTGCTGAGCCGTTTAAAGAGTGAAGCGGGCTGTTCCACCGGTAGGAATCCATTATTTTTTTTTCCACCTTTTCCATGGCCATTTATATGCATATGTTTCTGAAGCTTTCTTCGTGGTGCTATTTTTATTATTTGCGAATGCTATGAAAAAATCGTTTTTACATTTACTTACTAAAATATTTCGCAACCATTTCGTTCCTGTCGACGGTGCTAAACGTCACCTCTTCCAATGAATGCCGTCGCAAGCTTTTCCGTCCATTTACAGTGTTTTTTCGAAGCGTTGCTTCCTAGCGTAACTTATCAACTCTTGGACAACTTTTGCGATTGCCAGAACGTATCATCCGTCTTCGTATCTAATTTTTTACCGGTTTTAGTGTTTTATTTCCAATCCCTTTGTACTAACGTATTTGAAGCTGAAATTGTTTTAAAACTTATGAGAGTGAAGGTAGCTGTAGTTGGTTGATTAAATTACCATGAAATTTCTCACGTAGATGGACTAAACCTCATGTAAAAGGAGGGGAACTGAATCATTGATCAACACATGTCTTTTTCTTTAGCACTATGGTTGAAGGACATTACAAAGCGTTACCAATCCTTTCTGTTCTGCCGGCAGAACTGTTTGGCTAGCATCTTTTTAAAAATTTTTTTCGCTTCGTAAAAAACCAGTTTCATTTGGTTGTTGGCATTTTAACTAAATGTTGGATTTGTGAACTCCTCATATTGGATTAATGCCTAGTACTTTTTCCATCACCAATACGATCAAGTTTTCCTGTCTGAAAGTTTTAGAAGA